TGCTTCGAAAACTTCGCGCAATGAGCACAAGAGCCCACTCGGTGCGATTCCCTGAGGCACAAAAGGCAAAGCGAGTGCCCGTCTGGGAGGGTGATCTTGCTGCCACACTTAAGGCACTGTTTGAAGAAACCCCTCTTGGCCATAGGCGGGGGGGGGGGGACACACGACAGAGTCCAAAAAGGAAATAAATCTGATGAAACAAAGTCCTTTCATTTAACAAAAACAAACAAGAAGAAAACGAGGAATAGGCCTAAAAGCCCAAAATTTTTACCGACCGAAGCGGAGAAGATCCTACCAGCATGGCGGTCAGAAGAGAACTGGCGGGATTGTCATGCCCCTCCCTTGGTCATGCGCAGTGGGGACGGTGCGTGACTGGGAAGCGGGCACGAAAATCCCTTTCGCTTTCAAGAGGAACCAATCGAGGTCGGCACAGGCGCACTATATCACAGAGGTGTGATGCACAGAGACCACGAAGAAGATCTTACCGGTTGCTTTCAAGGGTTACAGAGGCAGACTATCAACAGGAGCCAGTTTTGGTGTAGTGGTTAAGTGTGCGGACTCTAATCTGGGAGAACTGGGTTTGATTCCCCACTACTCCACTTGCACCTGCTGGATGACTTTGGGCAAGCCATAGTTCTGGCACAGCTGTTCTTGAAAAAGAGCAGTTCCTGTCAAGAGCTCTCTCAGCCCCACCTACCTCACAGGGTGTCTGTTGTGGGGAGGGGAGGGGAAGGGAAAGAAGATTGTAAGCCGCTCTGAGACACCTTTGGGTAGTGAAGGGCAGGGGATAAATCCAATCTCCTTCTTCTACCTTCAAGGCAAAGTCTTATTAAGTCCAGATCTTGTGAGCTGCCCAGGCTACTTTTTCTTAACAAAAAGGAACAAGTAGCCCTGTGCCTGCAAAGTAATTCATAATGTGATTTACCGAGAGTTTATTAAGTAGGATTCAATTTTACCCATCAGTGTTTTTGTGTAATAACAAACTTGTGTATATCCTTTCATGAAAAGTTCACACTTTCTGCCTTCGGTTTGTGCTTCTGAACTGGGCAGGAATGAAATATCCCCTCTATCTTTCTGTTAGGGTTACCAACTCCAGGTTTATTTATTTATTTAATTCAATTTATACCCCGCCCTCCCCGCAATGCGGGCTCAGGGCGGCTTACATAGGGGCAAACGCCAATGTAAAACATAATTAAAACCATTTAAAATCCCAACAGTACAAAACATTTGAGTTATTTAATGCTCTAGGTGTTCAACATGAAATTTCACAGATGGCGTACTTCAACTGTTCAGCATCGTCTGCTCCAGGGAAGCAATGATGTTCCCTCATGTATGTAAAGATGGAATAATGGTGATGGTAGTGGCGGCTCCTACTCATACGCCTGGTGGAAGAGCTCCGTCTTACAGGCCCTGTGGAACTGCACAAGGTCCCGCAGGGCCCGGATCTCCTCCGGGAGCTCGTTCCACCAGATAGGAGCCGCCACCGAGAAAGCCCTGGCCCTGGTAGCGGCCAGCCTGGCCTCTTTGGGACCTGGCATTGCCAGGAGATGTTGGGAAATTCCTGGAGATTTGGGGCAGAACTTGGGGAGGGTGGGGTTTGGAGAGCAGGGGGAACTCAGC